CTTACCCATCGCTGGTAAGCCAATTTTCCTTCAGTTTTGAAGCCAACGGTTACCTACCCATCGATGGGTAAATGCTTCCCATCGCTGGGTGGGAGGTTGACTTTCAAATAAGGAAAGAATCAGCCTTAAATGACTCCCAACGGTCATGCCTTCCCATCGATGGTTAAGCCTTCCCATCGCTGGGTTCCCATCGATGGGTAAAGCTTCCCATCGCTGGGTAAGAGCATTCTGCCTTGTGATAATGTTGCACCAAGGCTTTAACATCGATGGGTAGAACTTCCCATCGCAGTTTGGCATGGTTCTGGAAATTGGTTTGGCTAAGGGACTGCTTACCCATCGATGGGAAGATCTTCCCATCGCTGGGTAGATGGCTAGCCCAGAACCATGGCCTAGCTAACCGGCGCTGAAACCCGACCGAAAAATGCAAAGTTCTCCAAAGTAAAAACTAAGTATATAAAAGACTTATTTAATGTATTTTGATGTCAAAACAAGCTTTGTAAGTTGAAAACCACGTTGTTAAGGTAAAAACTACGGTTGACCAAGTCAACACCGTACACGGGTGGTTTTCACCAAAAGACAAAACCGAAAGGTGGTTTTCATGATGTTTTGATTGGAGAACCATTTAAATGCATCCAAAAACAATTCCCACACAAAAATACTTGAAAACCACTTCATTTAAGTAAAAACCACGGCTAGCCAAGTTTATGCCGTTTCGCATGGTTTTTATCAAACGACAAAAAACAAAAGGTGGTTTTTGAAGTGTTTTTGATGAAAAGCTATTTAAATGTACCCAGAAGTAAAAACCAGTCATAAAAAGTTGAAAACCACTTGGTTAGTTCGGACGCCAAAAACCGAATGCCGAACGCCGGTTTCCGAAACCCGAACTCCGGATGGCTTGATTTTTGGTTTGGGCGAACACCAAGTGTTTTTAATGTTTTAAAAATGTTTGAAAAACATTTTTATGATGTGTGAAATGCAATGAAAATAATTTTAGCCTAAAGAGCCAAGGTGTAAAGGTTGGGTTGGTCTTGATCACAATTATGACCGACTCAACAACACTAAAACAACGGTCTTCGTTCTTGGTCTTCTTTTGGGTCTTGTTCTCTTGCTTTCTTCTTATATTTATTTTTCGCCTTGTATATTCAATAACTTGTCTCGTTCACGGCGGTTTGGCATTATCAAAACCTGTCATAAAAACGAACACGGCTTTAGTACGAAAACACGATAAACCCGTGTTTCAACATTACCCATCGCTGGTAAGCCAATTTTCCTTTAGTTTTGAAGCCAACGGTTACCTACCCATCGATGGGTACAAGCTTCCCATCGCTGGGTGGGAGGTTGACTTCCAAACAAGGAAATAATCAACCTTAAATGACTTTTTAACGGTCATGCCTTCCCATCGATGGTTTATCCTTACCATCGCTGGGTTCCCATCGATGGGGTAAAGTTCCCATCGTTGGGTAAGGTCGTTCTGCCTTGTGTTGATGTTGGACCAAGGCTTTAACAGTGATGGGTAAAACTTCCCATCGCTGTTTGGCATGGTTCTAGAACTTGGTTAGGCTGAAGGACCGCCTACCCATCGATGGGAAGTTTTTCCCATCGCTGGGTGGTTGGTTAGCCAAAAACCCATGGTGTTTGCCTTAACCACGGCCTAGCCAACTGATGCAAAAACCGACTGAAAATTCCAAAGTTCTCCAAAATAAAAACCCAAGTGTTTAAAACCCTTATTTGATGTATTTGGCTAGAAAATCAAGTGAGACATTTTAAAAGCCACGTCATTTGGGTAAAAACCACGGCTAGCCAAGTTTATGCTGTTTTACGTGGTTTTTGCCAAACGACCAAAACCGAAAGGTGGTTTTTAAGATGTTTTTGTTGGAGAACTGTTTAAACATGCCAAAAAGTAAAAACCAATCATAGAATGTTGAAAACCACTTGGTTGGTTTGGACGCCAAAAACCAAAACCGAAAACCAAATGCCGAACGCCGGTTTCTGAAAGCCGAACGCCGGATGGCTTGGTTTTTGGTTTGGGCGAACACCAAGTGTTTTTGTTGACTTAAACATGTTTGAAAAACATTTTTATGATGTAAGAAATGCAATGAAAAGATTTTAGCCTAAAGAGCCAAGGTGTAAAGATTGGGTCGGTCTTGATCACAAATGAGACCGACTCAACGACACTAAGACTACGGTCTTCGTTCTTGGTCTTCGTATAGCTCTTGTTCTTATCTTCGTTCTTCGCCTTGTATATTCAGTGTCTTATCTTGATCACGGTGGTTTGGCATTATTGGTGGTCCCAAAGTGGTGAAATACAAAGTCTAGAGGGGGGGTGAATAGACTTTGTTACAGATTTAAAATCTTTTTCGTTTCTTTTGAAAACGTAAAAATGAATGTTAATCTAGAGTCCTTGTGAACTTTAGATTGTGTGCGGAATTTGGTGGGTGGAGTGAGCAGTAATCAATATGGATGGGTTAGTTTTCACAGTTAATATATTGCAAGTAAAAATAAAGATAAAAGAGAGAGACACGCAAACTTTAACGAGGTTCGAAGGTGGGGCAATCCTTCTACGTCCTCAAAATCCACTATGTAGTTGGTTGTTGAATAATGAACCAACAATTACACTTGTGTGAATATCTGCACGGTATATCTTCACAAGACCAATGTTGCTACTGCACTCGTGCTGGCTTTGTTGTTCCTTCGAAGGTCAAGCTTCTTCAACAACTGCAAGGTCCGAACAATAGGACTTGCAAGAGAGTTGACCTACCCCCTTTTTAATCAATAAGTTTGATCAAAAGTAATATCCTTCAACGTGGTGTGGTGCTTGAGGCAAGGAAACCTTCAAGTGTTTACACTATAGCTCTTTGGAAGGGGGAGAAGTTTGCTTCTGGATAAGGAGTTTAGAAATCTCTCTTTATCAAGCTTTTTGGGCTAACTGTGAATGAGATAGCTTTGTTGTTAGATATTGCTTCGTTGTGTTGTTATATCTCTTTTTTTTTTTCTCCAGTCTTCCAAGGATGCTATTTATAGCTTGGATAATCTATCCGTTGAATCAAAATAGACTATCCGTTGCATTTGTTGGCTTCAATTTTGAATGAAGATTGTGATTTGAAGATTTCTCATTGGAATGGGTGTTTGGACATACCCATTTGTTAAAGGAGAGATTCCCTTTTTCCATAGAGTCCGTCTTCTAGCTGCTGTTCAAGTATTCTGGACTGTAGAACTTTACTTTGTTTGTCTTCTAGTGCTTGTTTAGGAATTCTGGACAGGTTCTTCAATTTTTAGAGATTCAGACTTTGTCTTCGAGTCATTTGTTCTTGAATCAGCATAACTATCTTCAATCTAGCCGTTGAAAATCAAGAGATTGATTTTTCCTTACCAACGGGTAGAATTTCTTCATTCAAGACTTAGATAATTTTCTAAGTCTTTTCTCACTTGTCCGCTTTTTGAGAATTCCGGTCTTCCTTGAGGTATGCGGTTCTTAGCTGACAAATCCGGAGGAGTCATTCTCAGACTTCCGGGTGAGAGAGAGATCCGCGCTAGTCTTCCGATTTGGGTGACTTAGCCTTCAGCGGGTTGTAGCGAGACATCCGGTTCTTATGTAGTCTTCCGGAACAGAGGATTTTCATCTGCTTGAGAAATCCTTACTTGTCTCTAGCATTTCCGATTAAGATATCCAATTTCCATATCACTGAATTTGATTAACTCTTCAGGCATCAAAACGCTTAAAGAAATATCACAACCTTATTGGAAAACTCAAGAACTTGGTTTTAACAATATTTCTAAAAAGAAAAATTACATTGAATATTGGGGGAGACCTAAAGTCCCTATTACATTCTAAATACATCATCATCAAAATCTATGATATTTTTCCCAACAATTTCCACCTTTTTGATGATGACAAACAAGTGTTTAAGAGTTCCATTCGCTGTACTGAGAACTAATTTTGTAACTTTCTTTTAGTTTCTCATAATATACAGCTTGTTAACAAAAACTCTTAAACAAATACAGTTCAAATTACAATAATTCCTAAACCAAGTCTTGTCTTGAGATTTTGTGATCTCTTCTGCCATTGACCGTTTTCAGCTTCAGCAGATTCTGCTTGGCAGAGCGGTTGGCGTTGCGTTTGATAGATCTTTAATATCCAAAGTGGATATTTAAGATCTTGGAAGCAACACATCTCTCAAAATAAGAAGAAAGATAGAGAGAGTGTTGTTCCAGAGAAGGTGTATGGTCTAATACTGAAAAATACGAGATTTCCACCATAGACCTTCTCTACTGCCGAGATTCTCACCATAGACCTTGAAAGTCTTTTCTTCTCAATAGGCTTCTTCCATTGCCGTCTATGAGGGTGAGAAAGAAAAATTTCTCCATTGAGGATATTTTTCTTGGTGTGTTTCTTAGACAGTGAGTTTGA